TATGAGTATATTATCTTTTTACTTAGTTCCCATTTTTAACTCTTTTTTCCCCCTTTTCTTAAAGAAGGACCTAATCTAGAACGTTTAACCAAACATCATCTAAATTTTCATTCTGATACCTCTCAGAATAAAGTATCTAATCAATGGTTCCCATTCTGTTTTGAATTTCTCATGATTTACTCCTCTGATCATCCCTGTAAGTTTGTCCATTTCCATCAATTCAAACATTTCGGAAATCCAATCATTCAATAGTGGAATTTCTTTCGTGTTCCACCTTGCCGCATATAACAACCTGGCAGCAGACAAAGAGTAAAAGATTAGTTTTCCATACTTCTTCTCAAGTGCTTCAATGGCAAACAAATCTTGACAAGAAAACCCCATGATAGGTTCACTTTAGGGTGTACGTAAGTAATCTGGTTTGACACCACTTTAATTGCCACGGCTCAATTGCCGGAGCTCTACTCTAGTGCCAAAAGCAAGATAGGCCTTAAAAATACCCTCCCGGCCTCTCTGCTGCTGCTGCACCGCCAGCCACGATCCCAGCAACAAGGAAGGCACAGGAATAAATAAATAAGAGGGCCTAAAACAAACTTCCTGGTCCCAAACCAGCCTCTTTGCTGCTGCTGCTACGCCGCCGGCCATGTTCCCTGTGGCAAGGAAAGTGTGGGAATGGCAGCGGACCCAGCAGAGGCTGTTCAAAAGCTCCTCCTGCTCAGTGGGTAGGAGCCACCACCACTACCACCCCACAGCTGCTCCCCTAATCTCTGTCGCTTCCCTTCCCAGGACCCCCTGAGAAGGAGAAGCCACCAGGAGCAGCAACCATTGCTCCCCCAATGTGCCATGCAATGGAGCCGGACTCTGCATTCTCTCTTAGCTGCCCCGACATCATTGGAAATGGGGACATGCAGCTCCAACCAGCCGGGACATTTTTACAAACGTTAAAACCGAGACTTCCCTGATTTTTCGGGACAAATGGCAACCCTGCTTCTAATATTTATGTGGAATCTCTTTTCCCGTAACTTGCATCCATTCCTCCGTGTCCTCATCTCTGGAGCAGCAGAAAACAAACCTGCTCCATCCTCAACATGACACCTCTTCAGATATTGAAACAGGGCTATCATGTCACCTCTTCCATTCATTAATATTACTTTTTTCATTCCCACACCATCCCTTTACATTCT